AATGTTCACCTGTTCATTATATAAATCGTTCTTCTACATGTTATGAAATAAAACATTTCAGTCTAATAATGGACGTCGAAAATTGTCTGTTTATAATTTTCAAATTACTATTCAAATGTGGGTCATTTTCTTAGCAGTTGCTTTCAACCCTACTTCAAAGAATTCTCAAAAACTTTCAACCATATCAATGAAAAGAACTTTCCTTTTGAATACATTTCAATGACAAACAATATCGGGAGTAACCACATGCGCTCGTTGAGCGCCTTTAATTTTACTACGTTATCAAGCCGTTCTTGAATCGGTTTGTTTTTACGCGTACAAAAACAAACCGATTAACGGAAACGTCTCATATAAGATTGTAGTGATCAATCCTCTAGAGTTTATTAGACGTCCACAAGTTGAAAATCTGGTAAAAAATTGGCATAAAAGCTGCGACTTTTCAAAAAAATTTTGACATATAACCGCCACATCGAGAAATCAAGCAAACCGGAACAGCTTTTAATTGGCTTAAATTTATTGTCACGCGTCACGCATTGCAAGGAGGCGGAACGGCTCTYGATAGAAGATTGTGKMAGGSTCTCTCTCCTTTCTCGCTCCGCCCCAAACCCCTTCGAGAGAGCCTGATACTCAGGCTACCTGAGTAAGGTCTTCATTGACACCATGTTATATATGTTTTCAGTAAAATTTTGGTGAAAAATATTAATTCTTACTTTTGTTATATTACAATCCTTATAGTATTGTTAATATAGGAAAATATTTGAAAGTTCTCGTCTATTATTTTAATAAAAACGTCACGTCCTTTGAATCTATTGTCTTCAATTCTTAGTCTCTTTGCAATGCCGATATCGCAGTTCCCTGCTGGCAGAGTCTCTCTTGTTGTAGTTCGCAGTGAAGAACATTTTTGACTGCATGCAGGGAATTGTTCTGGAATTGAGTTAAAAGGTGGGTAAAGGAATACTTGGCCAGAACGCTTTCGTATGTATTCGAGTATTTTCCAAAAACGAAAGATCAAAATTCACTTATGGTGGCCATACCGCTGTGCAGTCACTGGTGCATATTATTGAATACGCTTCAGAATAACTGTAAACAACCTTAGTTTCTTCTGAATATCGCAAAAAGATTGCATACATGCATTTGAATAATTCAGAAAAATGTTTCTTTTCTGTTAAGTTAGTTTGATTGAAGTTGTAATCCAATGAAAAGAGTGTTTCATAGAAAGTTATGGACTATTACACTGCACACAAACAACTCCAAATTTKGTTTGGTTTTGAGATGTTACAAAACATGGAAGTCGAAGGTCACAGTTTCTATTTTTATDACAAGCTAGCGACTGACTGACAGCTGGCTTATTGCTGTTTCTATTGGTGGGTTTGCTTTGTAGGAGTGTTCGTCACAGCATATATGCCACGTCAAACCCATACAAAAGTCAGTCAAGAACAGATTTTGCGGCACTCCTTAAATGATTCGATAGCTCACCGCTTTAGATCAAGACTCCAAACCTTCTATTGAAAGGTAAGGCATACAGCTGACTTTATTTTACATTATGAAAACATCATTTCAATGTTATCACGAGAAAAGAGTTCTTTAGTTTCCTTTGTGTTTGCTTTCAACCAATGACGGAAAATGTTAAGAAACGTTTTCTAAGTAATCGCATTTATGGCAATAACTATGCACTAACAGGAGAACGCTGAAGTCAAAGATATGGTGATATCAATCATGGAGTTGAAAAAACAGCGAAATGTTTAGTTGTTTTTTGTTTTAAAACGCTATCGAATTAATGATTCTTAAGTTGTATAAAGAGTATCTTAATTTTCATTCGTGAATTTTTCATTTCAATCGAATTTCAAACCTTGTTATAAAACTCTGACGAGAAAACAGTTTTTTTGCGTTAATATTAAAATCTTTATTATTGTACTTGTTACAGAACATCAAGATGGCTACTGCTGGATGGTCAACAACTACAAAAGAAAACACCAACTTTGCTCGATTGTGTAAATTACTCATCGATGGAGGAACTCATATCCTTAGAAAGATCTTTGATGCAAAACATCCACCTCACGATCTAAAGAAACATTTGATGGATCGCAGAAATCATCGTATTTTGAAGAATTTGAAGACTGCAAACATATTAAGACGAGATCAATGGAGCAAACTGTATCCAAGTGTAGATGCTCCAACATCTGCAAGTTTTGATATTACTCTCTTAAGTCTACTGTTGCGCAATATCTGCAATTTGCCAACACCTGCCAATGGATGGAGTAACGAGCCCGCAGCGACAAGTATTAGTCAAGAGGATGATATTGTAAGGGTGAAATTGTACCGCAACAAACTGAGCCACATCTCTGAACGAGCGCTATCAGACGCTGATTTCAACAAGTACTGGAACGACATTGAAACTGTTTTGCTAAGACTTGGAG